GGGTGGAGGCCAGGAATTGCCAGTCTGCTGCATTTTCCTAGCAGGAAAAAAAAGGTGGATCTGCATGGCAGTGCTTGGATATGCCACACGTTTTCCCTGGGCTACACCAAGCTGATTTTGACCTCTCCTAAATTCTGTTTCACCTCTGGAACCAAGTGCTTTAAAGCAGCAGCTTTCTCCCTCTCCCCTGACTCCCTGCTGAGCACACACGGCCACATGGAAGAAGCTGGAGCTGGGATTTTCCTGGGAAAGGGGAGATTTCCCAGGGATTGCTGGAGCCATGCATCGCAGGCACGTGCAAGCGCAGATTGACACACGCAAAAATACTCTGAAACTGCTGCTGCTGCTGTGCAAGCTGCCAAAATCCCCAGTGCCACTGAAGCCAGCAGGTGTGGAAGGCATTTTGGATCTGGGAGGACTCGGATTCCAGGCTAATTGTATCCAAGCTCAGGATTACAGGTTTTTCAAGAGCACTGGCCAAATTTTGCTCTCCCTGTTACAGCAGAAGGAATTGTCATAAAAAACAGGGAGTTACAGCAAAGTTGAATGGTCCTGAAAATGTGTCTCCATCTGTTCTGTGAAGGGACTCTCAATGCAATTGCAGAGTTATCAGAGCAGTTCTGAAGCTGAGAACGAGTCCCTGGTGAAAGCAGGAACAGAATCGAGTTTTGAGCATAAAATCATCCTTCCAAAAATGGTGGGAAACCCTCAGGGGGCAATGGAATGGCTTCAGTGGTCAGAAGCCAGGAGGCAGCAGCTTTGGCTTGGGCTTGGTGCAGATCCATGAGGCTTTGAGCACAAACACGACCTCTCCCCACCGGTTTGAGCAGAACGGGGTCTCCAGCACGTGGCAGAGTTCAGAGCCCCAGTCTGCACCCACGCTGGGACCTCTCCCCATCTCCACCCCCCCGGGGGACCCAGCTAGGGGAGATGGGGCTGGGGTTGCTCCCGGTTATCCCGGGGGGAAAAGGAGCCCAAGGCAGGAGCTCCCTCCCCAGCACAAGGCACTGAGCCGTGCCCAGGCTGCCCCTGCATGTCCAGCTGGGCAGGAGGGCTGCCAGGAGGGTCCCCAGGGCACAGCCAGCCTGGGGGGACAGGAACCACACTCTGACAGGGATGGAGCAGCCACGGGGGCATTGTCCTGCCCGATGCCATGTCCCCCCTGCAGGGTGAGGCTCCTGGCCCAGCTGCAGGACTGCTGGCTGTGCAGACACCTCAGAGCCCCCGGGTCCCCGTGCTCAGGGTGAGGACACAGTCCCTGCTCCCCCTGGGGACACACAGGCACAGGGGGGACAGGGAGCGTGCACAGCCCAGAGCCAGACCCCGTTCTCTGGCCAGTTTGGCTCAGCTCCTCTTGAGCAACGAGCTCAGGCCATGATGTGGAGGTGACAGCTCTGTGAGGCCACTCCTGGTGGCAGATGTCTCATTGTTTTGCCATTGTCTCATTGTTTTGCCATTGTCTCACTGTTTTGCCGTTGTCTCACTGTTTTGCCATTGTCTCATTGTTTTGCTGTTGTCTCTCATAAACAGAAGAACAACAAACTCCCAGGCAGCCCTTCCCAGGAGATGAAGCCTCAGAAATCACCAACAGCACAGCACTGGATACCCGTGCACTGAATGGTTTTTCCCTGCTGGTGGACACAGCAGGGTGGGAAAACACAGAACCTTTTCCCTGGCTTTTCAAATCCATATAATTACTCTCTGCAGACACTTGAAAGACCTAGGAAGTGAAATCTTTGTAAGAAGCCCCACTTTGTAGCATCTTGAAAATCAAACCTGTTCAGAGAAGGGTCTCTTTAACACCTGCAGAGTGAAAAGGAGCAGAGCTGCTCCAAACTGGGGTGGTGGTGGTGGTGGAGATCCTCAGGAGAGCGACTGAGATGATGCTGGCCAGGCTGGGTCCATCAGGTCCAGCACAGGAGTGGGGGGCAGCAGGCACCCAGAGGGGACAGATTTGTCACCCGAGTGCCCCAGAGGCACAACCCCCGTGTGTGACCCCTGGAGCAGCTCAGGGCAGCGGGCTGGGGCAGAGCCACCTCCCTCTGTGTTCACAGCAGAGATTTTGTGGCTACACCTGCAGGTCAGAAAGGCCACGGCGAGACGAGCAGAGGCCAGGCTGGGAGAGCCACGTCTCAGGAATAATAAAGCACATCCACAAGTTTCTTTCCCCTGTTGCTATGGGAGAAAATGGAGCTCGAGGGGAGTGTGAAGCCCCTGCGGGTGGAGGGGATGAAGGGGAGCAGTTCAGACGTCTGAGACTGACTCAACAGCAAACAGTGAATCAAAATTCCCAGTGGTGCAGCTTGTGAGCAGAGCGGGAGCAGAGGCAGCTCGGAGCCCTGGGGGTCTCTAACCTCACGGACTTCATGGCAGGGAGGGGATTTCTGCTCCAGGTGCAGGCAAGGAGCCTTAAACCAGCATTGCCCCTCCGAGGGCTGGCAGGGCTCGGCCAGGAGGTGTTTGGTGAGCCCTGCCTGCCTGGCCCAGCCCCTCTGCACACCCAGGGGAGCAGGGCTGTGCTGCCCCGCTGGCTCCCCTGGGAGGGGAGACCGAGGTGATGATGAGCTTTGGGATGCAGGGAAAGCAAGATAATCCAGCTCAGTCACGGGCTGCAGGTGGGAGATGGCACAGCAGGGCAGGCAGGAGGGAAACATTGCCAGCACCACGGCGGGAGCTGGGAAGAGGACAAAGAGATGTTTTTTTGGGGCATTACCTCCTCCTCCTCCTGTCAGGTTGCATCTTCCCTTCTTCTAAAGGAGGACCAGAGCACAAAGCCAGAGCTAGAATTTCTCAAGAGGATGAGTTTGATTTTCTTTCTGATTTTCTTCCTGATTTTCATTTAGTTTCTGCAGCCCCAGGAAGGGGGTCAAGGCCAAGCTTGCTGCGTGTTCCCAGCTCTGGAGCTGGGGAGTTTTCTCCCAGCCAGGACCTCTCCCAGACTCACCCATCCCAAGCCAAGGGACCCAGCTCTCCCATCCCTGGCACTGGGGTGGGTTGTCCTTTCCCCCGTGCTCTCCAGCTTTCCCCCGCAGGTGCCCAGGTGCCGAGGCAGTGCCGCACCGCTGGCCGCGTGTCCCGGCCCTGCCGGCTCAGCTCCGGCCACACCGTGGCAGCATTTATTCGTTTTATCCCGTATTGGATGCTCAGCCGGCACCTGCTGACCTTGATCTCAAAGTCTCCCGGTGCTTGGAGCCCTTTTGCTCCTGGATTTTGGGCTGGAGATGCTTCAGGTATTCAGGGAGTCGAAGCTGCAGAAGGTGTCACAGCCCACGGAGACGCGGCAGGAGATCCTGGCTGAGGGTGGGAATGACAGCCTGAGACAGTGGGGCTTGTTCCACGGGCTGGGAGAGCAGCAGAGCTCCTGCAGCTCTTTCTGTGCTGCCTTTAGCTCAGGGCAGGTGATGTCAGCCCTGTGAAAGCTCCTGGGCAATCCCTGTGCCATCAGCAGCTCTGGTGCTCGGCTCCACCCAGGATACCCGTGCACAGCTGGGCACAGCTGGGCACAGCGGGGCAGGAGGGGAGGAGCAGCAGCTGCCACCTCAAGATGCCAACCCTGCATCCCTGCCTCCAGCAGGAGCTGCAGCCGTGTCCTGCTGTCCTTGTGGTGGCAGCGAGGGAGGACAAGCTGGGATGGGCTCAGCTGGGCAGAGCCTGGTGCTAAGAACCCCGAGGTTCAATCCCTGGGTGGGCCATCCACTGAGGAGCTGGGCTTGATCCTTGTGGGTCCCTTCCAATTCAGAACGTTCTGTGACTCTTCAGGGTGCAGCAGGAGGAAGGACACACAAGGTCAGGCTTGCTTTCCCTTGCAGACAGCTTGTCTCTGTTAGAGCTTTCTGTTTCCTCCGACCTTTCTGTGGCTGTGTTAACAAATTGCTTTTGGGGCCAGGTTCTTGCAGCAGGGCTGAGGTGTGAGCGTGTCAGAGCCCAGCACCTTTGCAGCTGATCTCACCTTCCTTCTCACAGGAGGTGTCCTGGCTGAGACAGCTCATGCCACTGGCAGGTGGCACCGAGGGACCTGGCTCACCCCCAAAATGCCACACACGTCTCTCTTGGCAGCAGATGGCCCCACGGTGGCACTTTCTGCTCTCTCAGATGTGGAAAGGGCTGGGGTCTGCTGTCCCAGAAGTGCCCACGAGATGTGCTGAGGGCTGCTGGCTCTGGGATTTCATGATTCCTCTGTTGGCACATCCTTGCCAAAGACCTGGAGCCCCCATCCCCCTCCAAGTGCTGCCTTTGTTCCCTCTGGCAGCTGCTTCTGTCCCATCCTCGTGGCTTTCCAGGCTCACCTGGGAGAGGGATCAGGGCGTGCAAAGCTCTGGGTGCAGCCAGGCCCTCAGCATAGCTGCAAATGAAATATTCCCAGGAAAATCTCCTGGAGAAGTCACTGCCAGGAGCTTTTCCTTGGTCTGCACATCAGCCTGTGTGTTCAGAGCTTGTGGGAGAACTTCCATGCCAGCAGAAGTTGGGACTGAGTGAAAGGAAAGGCTCACAGGGAGCAGGAAAAGAGAGCAGGAGAAGAGAGACAAAGCAGGGCCCGCTTAGGAGGATTCGTGACACATAAATCAGATCAAAAACCACACAGCTGTACCCAGGCTGCTTGGGGATGAATAAAATTCAAGGGAATTGCACATCATCTGCCCCCAGCCTCAGGCATATGCCCAGGTTTGTCCAAATCCAGAGAGAAGCCATGAAAACACAAGGATTCAGCTGGGGAAAGAGGGAGCCTGGCAGGAACAGCCCCCAGCTCTGGACAAGCAACAAGACCTCGCCATTGCCCAGCCCCTGCCACCTCTGCTCACCCCCAGAAACTCCCAAAAATTATCACAAAGGTGGTGATTTCATGCAGCTGCAAAATGCCCTCATGGGAAGGAGGGGAAGTGTGGAATTCTGAAAAGAGCCACTGCAGGTTATAAAGCCATCGAACTCCAGTGGGGAAATCCAGGGAAGGGGAAGGAGGTGAAAAGAAATGGCCACAGGACAAGAGCAAGAGAAGGAGGAAGGAAAGGAAATAAAAGTCATCATCATCATCATCATCATCATCATCATCAGGACACAACAACAGGACGAGAGACAGAGCGCTTTCCAGGGGTATTCCCCTGGGAAAGGAGCCACCGTGTCCGTGAAATACAAAACCCAGTGCCCTCCAGCTGGAGGGGGCAGCAGGTGCTGGGACTGGTTTGGCATCCCCTGGGGGCGAAGGGTCCAGTTAGGAGCAGAAAACCCTGCAAGGGAAAGGGGAGAAAGGCTGGCCTTAGAGGGAGCAGCGAGGAGCACCGGGAGCATCCCGACCTGCGCCTTCTGTGCTGTGGGCAGGAGTTTACAGAGCTGGGTGGGGTGGGCACGGAGGTCACCTTTATCCACAGGTGGGAAACTGAGGCACTCTGGTAGAGTGGAGACCCCAGAGTATGTGATTCCTTGGAGAAAAATTCCTGCCGAACCTCAGGGATGAGGGGAAAACCCACGGCAGGCACCACACAGGGAAGGGGTTTCACCCCAAGCAACCAAGGGCCAGCACAAGGAGCACGATCCATGCAGCTGCCCAGCCTTTATCCTAAATAATCCTTCTGCTCAGCCAGGGAAAATCCCACCATGACCAAGATGAGCAAATGGCAGGACTTGGTAGAGCAGAAACAAACACGGCAAATGTCAAGATTTTTTTTTTTTTTTTTTTTTTTTTAACTTCTGGTTGTTTTTGCAACAGCAGGGAGAAAAATCTCTGGATTTTTCCTGAAGGGACATGGAGAGCTGAGAACCTGGAGCCAGCCAGGCTCCCCTGCAGCTGGGGAGAGTCCCCCTGCCTGTGGGTTTTGCCAGCCTGGAAGCAGGCAGGACCATTTTCCTTTGGATGGGACTGTCAGGTCTGACAATGTCACATCAGTGCAATAAATTGGGAAGCTGGGGGGATTTATCCTAGAGAGGTGACAGCTATTCCAGAGGCACTGCCAGGCTTCCAGAGCGAAAATCAGTGCCTTCCTCAGCCTCTGCTCTAAGGTGTGCATAAAAGCCAAAGCTTCCTTTCCCATCCTTTCCCGCCCTTCCCCATCCCCCAGCCCACGAGGTGACTGCAGGGGTTAAAACAAACGTGTCAACTCACTCATCCGTGTCTTTTTTGCTCTCCTCGATGAACGCGATGGACTCGGATCTAAGGCGGTTTGTCACCTCGTACGTGCGCAGGGTGACTCCAAAAATATCCTCGTGGTACCGGCTGTCATCCTGGGAGGGAGGGTGGCAGGGGGAAAAATGGGAATTGTGAACGCTCGGGGCCGGCCCCAGCAAAATCCTGTGTGGTGGGGAGGCAGCAAATGGGCAGGAGAGGGTTTGGGGATTGTCACGAGGGGACAGAGGGGTGCAGTGACCTTCCCAAGGTCACACCCTGGGCACAGCAGGGCTGTTCTGGGCATTAGACCCCCGCAGCTGCTGGAAATTCCTGGCTGGCAGGGGCACAGCAGCCCAAGGGCACTCTGTGAACAGCCAGGGGCTCTGGGCTCCCTTGGATGGGGCTTGGATGGAGGTGGGGACATGGTTCAGAAAGGGAAATCCCAGGGGAATCAGGCTGAGTTATCCCCCTGGGGAGAAGCAGAGCTGTTCCAGCATCCACCCGTGGATCTGTGTCCCAAACTGAGCTCATGATGAGCTCAGCTGCATCATCTGTGTCTGGCACGGGGTGCACAAACAGGGAGATTTGCAGCGGGGACCCACGGAACGCCCTGATAAATCCATTTTTTGATGGATGGCGAACAAGCCCTGCCCAAAAGCTCTGGCAGTGGTGCTCCCCAGAAGAGCCAGGTGACCTCCCTGCACACAGAAACCTCTGGAATGTCCCCCTCCCGACCCTCCCTGGGCGGGCAGGGGCAGGCAGCAGGTGCAGTGCCCGTGGCAGGGGTGGCCGTGGTGGCACGCACCGGTGGCGGTGGCATGCTGCAGACACGACTCACCCGCAGCTTGCTGAGGAAGGCTCCTGCCTCCTCGGCCGACAGCTGGCCCTGCTGCCTCACAATGAGCTGCACGGCCTTGAGGACATCCCCGGCCATGGTGACATCCCCGCAGACGTAGATGTGGCCTCCCTGCTCCTTCAGTGCTCTGAACACGGTCTGGGCCAGCTGCTCCTGCAACACGTCCTGCACGTATTTCTGAGGGACGAGGGGGGAGCTGGGGTTAGCTCGGGTTTGTCCTGCCCTGGGGGCAGCACTGAGGGGTGG